GTGGGGCCAGGAATCAAATTCTCTCAAATACAGTCATCAATACTAAAGCTGATAGATGGTGTGTTTTATTGCAACTGTGAAGCCTTTGTGAAGTTTGCCATGCATTCACTTTTAAGGCAAAAAAGAAAATGCATGCTTCCATGTTCTGCATAGCATTTAATCCAGCCATGATTGAGTGTGATTGGCCATGTAGTGCTGTATATTGAGATGTATAAAGAAGGAGGAAGAAAGTAACCTGAGAAAAACCATTGCCACCATTAAAAAGACATGAGCCCCAAAGGCTGCAGAAGCCTAGGACCTTAGCTAATTAGGGAGAAATCAAAGAATTCCAGCTTCCTCAAGTTTCCCCAGGACAGCTGAGCTTCTCATAAGCTGATTATTCTCAGTTTTAGGATCTGTCAACTCCTTTTTCCAAACACTGTTTGTGACTTTACCAGGGAAACTCAGAGGTTGAATAAGTGAGTGCTCATTCTTGAAAGTTGCCCATGATTTATTCCAGAGGTGGCTTGCACATACTCATCTTCGGTTAGGAAGAGGCTTGGTAGTTCAATATTAATTCCTGTAGTTTTTACAATTCTCATTGGGATAAATAATGAATCAACAGGGCAGGTGCCTTTTTATTTCATTATAGGAAAGTTTCGATAAAATAGAATAGTGAATCATATAACAGTGAATGACAAACACTAGTGCATTTTCACTTAAAATCAATAAATTGAAGCAAGCAGTTGTTTTATAACTGAAGGGTCATCTGAATTTAATGAATAGTAACTAAAAACATACTACACCAGGGTCTGAGATGAAGGAGAGAGGCATGGAAATTGCCAATTACTGTCCCGCCTGGCTTTATGATCCTCAAGGAGAGACGGGTGCATTTTTACGTTTTCCTTTAGTCAATGCCTAGAGTGGTGTGCATCCTTGGTCAAGAGTTGTCATCCTGGATAAAATAAATTAATGAACTATTAAATATAAAAAGTTTTGTTTTTCAGAAAAAAACCTTTTTATACACATAAACATAAACCTATGTATGTCTGCAAATGTTTATGGTAGTGGTTCTCAAATTGGGCTTGCATCAGAATTATCTAGAGATCTTGTAAAACCCCTAGAGTATTTGATATATTGAGCTGGATGCCCCAAATTTATAGTTTTTAATTCTCACTATACCCAAGGCGGCATAGTAGATACCATGCTGAGAAGGACTGACTGAGAGCCCGTCTGAATCCATGACCTCTGTGGCCGTCTCCAGTTGTTCATCTGTGGGGGATTTCCTCATTAGAGCAGGTGCTCATACATGGGAGAACATGTGCTGACTGCACAAATGATCCCACCTGGAAAAGGGGTTATAAAACTGTCTTTGGGTGTGTTTCCATGTCTTTGACTCAGGGTACTCTTCCACCATGAGGGAAAGCTTGTGAGTTTGGCTGTAGAGCCTTTTCATTTCCATTTTCACCTGATCTGATGAATTGCCATTGGAGGTCTGTTTCAGACACATGTTCCTTTCCTTGGTGTTGTAGCATTGGTTTTTGCTGATATATCCCACATTTGCTATAACTGTGTATATGATCCCTAGGCCCCTTTTCACAGGGTTGCAGTTGTTGGGATAATAATACGACTATTGCCAATAATATTGACTCTGATTTTGGCCTTAAGCTCCTCATCTGTATCCTAGTGGACCAATTGTATGTTAATTTGAGATAATTCTATGTACATCTGATTAGACAAAATATGGAATGTATATTTATCTCACATACATAAAAATGGGTAGAATATTTTCTTTTGAAAACAATGGCCAACATTGCTGTATGTTTTGACTAGATACTTCATTTGCTTATTTTTAAGTAGCAGATGTGGTTTAACTCTTGCATTTTCTCACATATTAGTCACTCAATACCATGTCAATTAACTTCATGATATTGTACATTTCCATGCTTCCTGTTGTTGAAGTTGTGTAGTGGCTTTTCATTGGAGGGGATGATATTCTGCCAGTTCTACTCTCAGACCAAGGATGGCCTCCCAATGAAACTGTTGAATTTATCTGGACAGTAAGTTGCTGGACTCTGTTGCATGGTCCGTGCTCACAATGAAGAAATCGTGCCTGGATATGAACTGTACTACTGTAACAATGTGGAGGAATTCAACTTGGGGGAGGGCTTGAGGAGGGGGTTGGAGGAAAAAAAGAAATGTCCATTTATAACATGTTTATGATACATAAAATGACTTGAAATGGTGGAGTGATTAAAATAGTTACTTTCTTATAAGAGAGAGTGTGCCTAATCAAAGTTTCATATGTAGTCAGTGCACAGGGACATGTCTGATTGAGAAATGCTTGAGACACCTGATTATATTGATCTTCCGCATTTAATGGAAACAACTATTTGATACTAATGGTGTAAGTGATGGAACTAAAAACTCACTTTCACAATAGGGTAAGGTGAAAACCTACTCTTATCATTTTCGGTAGTCTCAGGACTGTGCAAGTGGCCAAGTTTGTTTGGCTTAGTCAGAATGTCCTGTTCTATAGGCATGAATGCAATTGAGCAAGTAATGCATAGACCGGGATGTCTTTGGTACCTTTTCAAGTCCTTCAATCTGACAATTCATGTTACCCATTCTGTTTCCTGCCTTGCTTTCTAATTTCTCAATTCCTTCAGCACTCCCAAGAAGTGCGCATCAAACTGTGACTAGGAAGTTTCAAGGAATTATTATGCCACCTCCTCTTTAAGCATTGGCTCCCATCCCACATCTTCCCATGAAAACCTTTCTTTTCCTTCTGTCTCTTTCTTTTATAGAATAAGATGATTTTTTTCCTGTTCTATTTCAAATTTTGAAATGTGTAACTAATGAGACTAAAATTCTCTGTCTCCTTTCTTTAGCAGTCTTTTATATATTGTACTTGTGGGCTAGAATCATTAATTAGTTAATGTTTGTGAAGAATTTGCAAAGAAAACCTTAATGATAATAAGAAGAGCAGGGATGCTTGGGTTGCTGTTGGTAGGAGAGATATTAACAAATGTCAATCATGGATGCTTGCATGGCATCTTTTGTCTTTAGAATAGCTGAAAGAAGCACTGATTAATTTTCATCCTATAGGATTAGGAGAAAAGAATGTAGTTGGTGTAGAGCTGTTCCTGAAGCAAATATAGAAGTTAAGTTAGTGAGTTATAGGCTAAATGGAAGATCTAAGTGTTGTCTGTACAGAAGCAATGGGAAAAGATCATATCATTGGTGGAAGGATTTGTTAAAGAAACTTATACACTGATCATATTTTGGCTATTTTATGCAATGCTCAAAAACTGATGTATATCTGTAATAAAAGGATATTTTGGCTAACATCATATGGAGAATAACCGTTGAGAAAAGTTGTGACGATGGTAAGAAAGCATTTGGCTATTTTCTTTTGAGAGTTTCAGGCACAGTCTTTATTTACAGTATAATTCAATACATGTTTTCTAACAATTTTGAAACAACGATCATACAAGCATGCAACAAGCATCATTTAAGCTATTGTCTTGTTATGCTTATTCTGTTGTGATGTGTCTATCAGATGCTCACATTAGAACATTTGTCCTTTTTTAGGTCTGCATTTGTTCTTGCCTCCTGTGGCATCCCCTCTCTTGTAAAAGAGACAGATTCAAGGTTAAGTTGGACAAGGTCTCTACTTCTGTTCTAAGGGATCCTTCTTATTCAATGAGCATTTTACACTGTCAGTCCTTGAGGAAGCTTCCTATAACCTGTTGTTTTAGAAGTCATGGCTAGAGTGCACCTCTCCTAAAGAACCATCAACCCAAGGACAAGGGACACATTTTGAAAGAGGAGACCTCATAGCAGAAAAAGTGGCCCTTGCATACTCAGTTTTATATCACTTCTCCATGCCCTGTATTGTTTGTTATTTGCTGTGCTGTATAGGAGATTGATGCTGGAAAAAGAAACAGAAATTCTTCAAGAAAGACCAACTGAGAAGCAAAAGGGACGAAGCAGTTTTCTCTCTCCAATATTCAAAGCCTTATCCTCCCATAAATAATGCATTTGCTGGTAATTCAGTAGTGCATTTCACACTTGAGAAGCATCTCCTCAGCAGACCTGGTGCCAACCCTTGTGTTCTTAAATGCAGGCCTCATTTAACGTGTAGTTGGCGACTGCAGTGTGCACTCAGAGATGAGATGGACTTCTCTGTATCACTACACCTTACATAGCACTTTGATCAAGGGCAGTAAGCAAGCACTGACCCTTGCTGTGATTTACACTGAATTTCATGGGCCCCAAATAGTCATTTTCTGGAAGAACAGAAATGTATTCCAAGAGGGAAATTCCTCTGTCTTGGCAGAAGACTCTTCTTGCCTTTGAAGGGTATGAAGGTGGTTCTTTAAAGACAGGGATGCAATGGCACATGAACTTATCAAGAAAAATATATGGTGTCAGTTCATTATTTTGCTGAAGTTTAGAGACATCATTTATCTTGTATTAAAGAAGGAGATGATTATGTTCATAACGTTGAGTTTTAATGTCTTGGAGTTGCACAGACATCATCAGGCAATTCATCCTTCAGTGGGTCAGATTGACTGAGCTTTTAATAAAGAGGACGAGCTAGTTCCATGGAATGCAGTGGCTTTCCCAACATATTGAGACTTTGACCCTCAACCTGAAAGCTGATGTAAGACCAACATGGTTTAAATGGACTATATCTCTTCCTCCTGCCACAAAGTGAGCATGCCAGTAACCTCTAACATATTAAGATTATGTCTGCATCACTGTGAAATTAGCAAGGAAAGGACTGTTTCTGAGTGTACAGAAATCCCTAAGTATAATGTTATTCACCATACAATGTGGAAATAAGAAGAGTAACTGCCCTTGGTTGTTAGTTTGGTAATGATGAATAGATTTCTGCTTCACAACCTGCATTTCAAAGCGAGATTTTCAGAATATATCCACCAGGCCTGAACCTGTGCCCTGGATTTATGGGACCCTAGTGATGGACATCACATTTTCAGAATTGAGTTTCTCACTCTGCTTTGATTGATCTAAACATTCCAGCATGGCAAAGGTTCTAGTTAGTCTTGTCACTAATTACTCTCTCTTTTTACCATTGTAAACTTGTTAGTTTCATATAGGAGTTTATAAAATTAAAGCAAGAAGGTTTTATTCAATTATAGGATCATCGTACAGGTTCATTGCCCCCCCCCCCAAATCCTGAGATCATGAATTAATAGTGACTCATTGTGGAAATTCACATAGGTGGATTGGTCGTGATCTAGGACAGACTGCTCCATTGTCAATATACTTTCCTTTTAATGAAGCCCTTGGGTGAATCTTTGTGACTGTGTGGTTACAGTTGATAAGACATTTTCTTGTGTTTCAGTAGAAAGCTTTGTTGGGATTGACCCCAGCCCCTGAGAAATGACTTTGCTTTGTCACTGGAATTCCCCTGCTAGGTTATTGTGCTTTTCCCAAGTGATACTGCTGCTATTCTTTTCATTCGAAATGGTCAGTATTGGCATAATTATCACTCAAACTGGGGTTTGGTTCCTTGCAGCCATCTACTTTGGCTTCGTTATTACTGCCCTCCACATTCCCAGGAGCTGGGGTTGACCACGCAAGTCTGTCCTGCTTTCAGTGGTTCCAGTGCACAAGCAACAAAGCGGAAACTTGGCTTTGGAAGTGAAATGCTTCTCTAAACTGAATGATAGTTTTCCTAGAAAGAAGTTCAAATAAAAAAAGGAGAGAGGCGTGGAGAAATACGAATCTAGTGAGAGATAAATGTGCATTTGATGTAATATCAGTAGTCCAGATCAAAGAGATCCTCAAGGCTTAGCTCGAAAGAAAATTGACAACCTGTTCAGTAGTTCTTTATGCTGATTTCCTGAGTTTCTTCGAAAACTTATCTTTTTATTATTTTTAAGATTTATTTATTTTTATGGCAAAGTCAGACATATAGAGAAGAGACAGAGAGGATGATTTTCCATCCAATGATTCACTCCTCAAATGACCTCAATGGCAGAAGTCGAGCTAACCCAAAGCCAGGAGCCAAGAGCCTCTTCCAGGTCTCCCATGCAGGTGCAGGGTCCCAAGGCTTTGGGATGTCCTCAGCTACTTTCCCAGGCCACAAGCAGGGAGATGGATGGGAAGTGGGACAGCTGGGATTAGAACTGGTGCCCATATGGGACCCTGATGCATTCTAGGTGAGGATTTTAGCTGCTAGGCTACCACTCTTGGCCCAGTTTTATTAAAGAAAAATTTAATGTGTTCAATTCCCTGTGTTTTCTTTCAAAAACAAGAAAGACAGTCTCTGGGAGAAGAATGCCTTCTGGTGTTTTCCCCATCTCCTCATCTATGTAATGCATGCATAAGTTGCAAATTGAAGGAAAGGAATGGATGGATGAATTAATAAATGTGATTGAAAACAGGCATTTTAAACTGTTCTAAGTCAAACCATACATTTGTAGAAAAGAGTCTACTACTGATGGAGGGAGGGATTTTGTGCACAGCTTTGTTCTTAAACTCTTCTGAACCCATTGTGCTAAAAGCCTGTTTTTCTGTGGCTGCCGTATTTGGAAAGCACTAAGACAAATGAAAATGTTTGAGTTGTTTAATCTGCTTCCACTCAATACTAGTCTTGTGATGTTCCTACTCTTTATTTAATATGTTGAAGACTTAACTCTAAATCATGTAGGCAAATTTTGTACATACTTACATAAATCATTGCTGTTTATGTGAAGATAAATGTTAATAAGTCCACTGTCTGAAAAATATGCATTGTTTATCCAGTCTATCTTTGAAAAGGACATAAACCATTCTGGATATATTGTAAATCACATATACAGATAGAGCATTCTAAATTACGGAATAAATAATAGCTTACAAGATGCAAGTGTAAAATTTCAGACTTTCTTCTCCATCTGGAATGAGATTAGGTTCAATCTCAGTAGTTTCTGTAACATAGTACTTGGAAGATGTTTTAATTCAATTTTAATTTTAAAATTTTTTTCTCCTGGAAGGAAGCCTTTAAAGAAGGAATTATTTGTTGACTTTTCTTGGGGAGTATCTGTAAGACCAGAATTTAGGAATGCACAGAATTTAGGGTGCACGAAGAACTGTGAACTTAAATTGTAAATTTTGAATTTCATTTTAGAAGTGTGAAATACATTTTTATGCGCTCCCACTGGTAATGGGAATTCCTGATGTGGAACATAAAACAACTGGGCCTTGCAAATTAATTTATATATAATTACACCCAGGTTCTCCAATACTTCGTTCAGATGCAGCTTTTGCCTCATATTGATATGGCTTCAACATAATTTGTTATTTAGTATTTCTTCCTAAGTATCAGTTTGTTATAGCTCCAAAGAACCCTGGATTTACTAGGTTTATGGTCATAATAAAGTATGTTTTATACTCCAAGCATATTTCAAACTAGCTGTTCATTATGCCAAGCATTGGATTTCTTGTTATTTCTCAAATAATTGTGCATTTTGTAAGGGATCTGTAAAACTTTTTGTATGAAATTCTTGCATTTGAGACTTGCAAATACTCTGTAAAGGGCAGACAAATGGTTTGTGGGAGTTTAGGACTGGTATTTGTTTTTTATTAAGTTGAATTGTAAAGTTCCTGTCATCTTTCTAGGTACATCTGAAGCTTCCCATCTTTGTGAAGGTCAAATGAATGTCTTGGGATGGACCCCTACAGATATTCCTGAGTTTTAATCTCATTATAGAGAAAGATGTTTATGGTTCATTACTTTAGGAAAAGATGCCAGAGATGGGGAGAAAAGGCAGTCTACTTAAAACGGCAGTTTGCACATTTTCTCAGATGTTGGAATGTGTCATGTACTCCATTTGCATTACACCTGCCACAAACGAGTAAACAAACAGGTTAGCAAGTAATGAAGTGATGCGTGTGGCTATAGGTGGCTCTGTTAGTCTGAGGCAGCCGATTCTATCGTGAATAAGGCTGGGTTATAGACTATGCCAATTGGCTTTCAAGTTTGTTATCGTATTGAACCACATGGAATTAATTGCTGATATTCCACTGTCTTTTTTCCCCTTAACTTACCAAAAAGGAATTCCCTGTAAGTCAGTCTAATGCTTCCACAGTTCTTATTCTGCTTCAAAAGGCCACCTGCTATGGTCGAAAGCTCGATCATCATGGAATTGGAGCTAGTGGTCTGGGTCAACATCTCAGTGATGTTACTTGCCTGCTGGGTGACCTTTTACAAATCCATTACAGATTCATCAGTGCATGGAGGAACAAAGAGAATGCATGAGACACTTGCCAGTTTTCAATTAATAGGTATTGGGTACAGGGCTTTCTTCACAATGTGCTATGAAAGAAAGGTGACAATGTTCCCAAGAAGAAGAGCTATTCAACTCTGAATACTTACTAGCACTATTGCTCATCACCCAAAGGATATTCAGTGGGAAGGACAGGCATCGTTAGCCTTATTTTGACATGAAAACACCTGACATGGATAGAAGTTCAAAAAATGTGGAGAAAGTGACTCGGTGCTTCCACACGAGACACTGAATCTCCAGGCAGGCCTGCTCTTTTCAGGGCACCTGCTGGTGGATTCTCAGTCAGTCACACAGAGATAAACTCCAGCTGGCCACGGGAGTGCCTTGAAGTCCTCTCCATCAGTCCAAAGGTCTGGTTCCGTACTACGGAATCTTTGTCCTGCGAAGTTCGAAGTCAGGACGGTATTGGATACCTGACAACTTCTCCTTTCAAAATCTTTTTTTTCCCCTTCAAAAGCAGAATTAAAGTTCTGTGTAGGTAATAATTCTCCCTCTCCCTCCCACCTTTACCACTTAAGGAAACCTTCACAAAGCAAAGCTAGAGGCTCCTAGGCAGGATTCCTCTTCCATTCTTACTCAGTGGTGGAGAAAAGAGACTCAGTGTGGATCAAAGCGCCTTGTGTGAGGTCCCCTGCAGGAGCGGGGTGCCTCACCTCTCTCAGGCAGAAATCTACCTCTGCCGTGAAAATGGGTTCCTTCACTGGGAGTCTCAAGACACTCGGCACACCCTGGGCTTGGCTTGGTCCATCAAAGCATCTGCCATAAAATAAAATATTTATTCTCTGGAAATGTACGAAGCTTCAGATGAAGACTGAAATACAGTGATATCTAGAGCAGAATACTGGATGCTAAAGCATATACTCATTTACATAGGGAATAAGCTATAACTTGGATATCAACACACTTCAGTAAAAATCAGTCATAATCTGGGTATATGCAGCATTGAACAGTTATTTAGACTGTCTTACTAGTGGCCCTTGGTGATTTTCTGCTAGGGTAATGTAAGTTATAAAGGAAGCCAATTTACTTTGGAATTTTTATATGAAATTCCCCCTTCTCTTAGCTCCTACTTCTTCTCATGCTTGCATTTTGCTATTAACATCAAACTTTGAGTTTAAGATCTTGACGTTATTATAGTGTGCATGAACTGTTGAAGGGTTTCTACCAGGATATAGCTTTAGGGGAACTTCGTCAGTCTCTTCAGCATGACTTTGCAGTTTGTTTCCGTTCCATCTTCTCTGAACCAGCACTGTGAAAGAACAGGCAGCTTTCAGGGGGTCCCTGGAATGCTTGCCCCTCTTCCATGCTGGCTTAGTGGCTGTAGGTAAAGTTGCCTTGACACAGTTCTGGTAAGGATTCAGGCTGTTGGACTCTGCAGGGAGGTGAAAAGTGGGCCACCCTGACGTGACCATTTCATGGCGCAGCTTTGCTTGCTGCACTCGGGTCTGGACTAATTTCACGGTTTTATGAAGAGAAGACATTCCCAGGCATCAGAACACCTTCCCTCACACAAGCTTTCATCCAGAATGGGAGGATCTGTTTCTGGTTACCATCATCAGCTGTTAGAATTCTCTTTCTTTTGATTATTCAGCATGAACAGCCTGTGCCTAAGATTCTGGATCCAGTCTCAAGCTGCATAGTTAAGTCAAGGTTCCTCTCATGTTAGTTGAATGTTCTCAGCTAACATTCCAGACAACTGTTTCTCTATCTTTCAAATGGGAATAATGGC